TATATATATAATATAACAATTATATATATAATAATATAAACGTCTAGGAATGTACCACGTCCACGGTCCTACTCTGGAAATGATGATGCATACAATGGACTCCATGGTCTTCATACTTTCTATTATAAATAATAGGTTTATTTTCTATTTAGTGGCTAGCTGCTGTGCATAAATAAATGTCGATAGTGTGGCATTTTTGAAGAAAATAATTTATCCTGGATAGTATTATGTGATTCCTTATCATAATAGATTAAATTGTTATTCGAACTAATGTGGGTTTATTTAAATTGTAAACCCATTATTTCCTATCATTCGCAATGTGTAACAAAATGTATATGGTTATCTAAAGGGCGCAAGAGGTCCGCTTGGTGGTGTTGGCAGCCCGGGACCCATAGGCCCAATAGGTCCTGAAGGACCTCAGGGTGACACTGGTCCTTCCGGTGTTCGCGGAGAAGCGGGACCAACTGGCCAACCAGGACCAAAGGGGCCTGTCGGGAAGCCTGGACCTCCTGGGGAGTCAGGCAAGGAGGGAGTTTCAGGACCACCGGGAGAGGATGGACTCATTGGTGAAATTGGCTACCCCGGTCTACGTGGTGCCATGGGCCTTCCTGGAGACCAGGGTGCTGATGGCGAAGCTGGACCGAAAGGAGAACAAGGAAGACCTGGACCCCAAGGAGAAAGGGGTCCAAGTGGCTCACCAGGCGCAACAGGCCTCCCGGGAGATGTCGGGGATTCCGGTTCACCTGGAGAAAACGGAAGAGGTCTTGTTGATTGTGTCTTTGACATTTTTAATTTAATTCTCACGAAGTAGATAAACGAATCATGAATATTGCTTTCATTTAATTGTTATCTTTTGCACGTTTATTTTACTTCTTTGCTTCTACTGACTTATGCAAAACAGAACGAACTCCACAATTTAAGGATGCAAATAAAATTTTTGCATCAAGTAATAAACACAATCAAATAGAAATATCATATACGTTTTATTTCCTCCGATTATAAAAAAGATGCTGTATTTATTGTAGTAAAATAATGCATAATGAGACTGTTGATATTTTGTAATATTTAAGCCAAATATATACAATGAAATTCATTCTTCTTTCAGATGGAGAAATTGGGCCCATGGGAGAAGCTGGTCCACGAGGACCTATTGGCCTTCCCGGTTTCCTCGGTCAAATGGGAGTCCAAGGACCGGATGGCACACGAGGTGATCTGGGCGAAATGGGTCCTCGTGGTAAAACTGGACTTAATGGAGAGATAGGACCTCCTGGTGACCGGGGTTCCCGTGGTTTAAAGGGTCCCCCTGGGGACATTGGACCTCCTGGGTCACCGGGATCCCCTGGTCGGGACGGTCCTCCAGCAGAGCCTGGTTTTCCTGGCCCGCCTGGATCACCAGGGCCCCCTGGAATGTCTATTTACAGCGATGATCCCGAGGTCAACGAGGAATTTAACCTCCTAGTACAGGAACGGGGATTGGGCATTCGTGAGGTCCCTGGTATCACCTGCAAGCATTTGGCTGAACTTAACAGCACATTGTCCGATGGTAATTAGATGTAAATCCATTTATAGGAATTAGAGTTTATGCTAATTTAATACTGTATTTTTCAAAGGTTACTTGGCTACAAATCATTATTGTTTTTATAATATTTTTTAAAATTGAATACACTAAATATCTCTGGTTTTTATTAGACTGTCTTCTTGACTCACAGTGTTTGAGTTTCCGTTTAAGGAGGGCATAATTTATCTCCTTTTGTCATATTTAAACAGAAACTTAAGATATTATTTACATAACATTTTAAGATAGTCAATGATAGGTTTATGATTTTTGTCTTCAGGCACTTACTGGATAGATCCAAATGGTGGCAAAATCGAGGATGCAGTAGAAGTATATTGTCGAATGACTACCGGTGAAACGTGCATCGAGCCGAAATCTGAAGATGTTTTGCCAATACAATCATTTGGTGTCAAAGCGATGACGGAAAATGGGTACACTTGGCTAGCAGAGACAGCTGAGTTGGATCAAGTATGATTAAACCTTATATCACTATTACATTTAAGGCCCTATGTTTAAACTTTTATTTTACAGCTTAAGAGAAGAATATCCATTGAGCCCTTTGGGATAAAGACTATAGAAAATTACCATACTATTGCAGTTTTGACTAGTAATTTGGCCTTTTTACTCAGTGGATAGCCAATGGATAGAAACTGCTAAGATAATATATTTTATTAGATAGAGAAGCCAAACGCCTCTTATAAGAAGATTTTTGCTAAAT